TCTGTACTTGTTTAAGTTTAATAATTGTTGTAATCCCTACTAGTCCTAGATTATTGAGTTTATTGTATAGTTCTATTACTTGACTTTTTTATTATAGTATTCAAATACTCTTTATGTTGTAAATCATTGAATAGTGAATTATTCTATTAGGCATGGATCTATATAAAATATGCTTATTTTTGAAGAGTTTTCTGTATACTGTTATTAAGATGTTATATATTTTTTAGGACAATATGTTATATTGTATTCTAAATTCTATTCTAGGTATTCATACTCTGTTTAGAATATAGAGAGCTTGTTTATCTATAATATTTTTATTTTTAAGGGCTCTAATTACTAAGTTGACTTCTTTAAATACTTATTATTTAAGTTCAATTACAGTTTTTTGATTGCTAATCCATATTTCTAGAAATCTGACTTATTCTGCTCTATCAAATTTTTTGATCTCCTTTTCATCAGTACTTGCTTGAACTTTTTCTAAATAGCAATTAAAATTATTAATAGTCACCAAGACTAATTTGTTGCTATTGATTTAAGAGTCATTGGCTTTATGGAAAATTTTATAGTCTTTAAGATTTTTTTTATATTTTTCTTTAATCTAGCTATATACATATATTATATTATTCATAAAAACTATGGCTGCATGTTTTGAGTTTACCCTTTTCAAAGTATATTCTTTTAGATTCAGATTTCAGGTAACTACTATTTTGTACTTTCTTTATGCATCATTTAGATTTTGTAAAGGAACAAATCATAGAAAATTCTCTATAATAGAGGTGAAATAGTTTTTTCTTGATCAATTCTATATTATAATTAATTATTCAACTTCAAAAATATTATATAATACTATAATATTTTTATAGATATATTTTTTGAATATTTTTTTTTAAATCCATGGTCAAACAAGTACTGTGTATTTATTGATTATTATGAAAACAGATAAAGATACATAGGACAATTGCATTATGGTTAAACTAAAAGACTTGTACTGATACACTTATCAATGGCTTTCAATTCTCAAAAGAGCTTCAGCCTCTAAATACAATCTTGGAAACAATATTTTGCTCTGGACTAAGTTTTAATTAAAGATTCTCCTAACTTACCTATTATTGTCAACAGGTTGTCACTGATTATTATCCTTCAAAAAACTGAATTCAAGAAACTATAAAAGAGGAAAGAAAAAATAAAATAAAAGGAAAATATCTAAAAATATGCAAATACACTACATGAAAATAAAAAGAAAAAAAGAAAATTAAAAATGCTCCATATTCTCTAAAGGACTTCTACTAAAAATCTTTTCTCATTAGGAATCAACCCTTCTGGGATATCCTTTTTTTTCTTGATCATCTAAGAAACTTATCCATCTATGCTTTTGATTATTTTCTTGTGACTATCTGAGGTACTTATCATCTACTCAAATTTAGTGTCACTCAATACTTCTTTTCTTTTAGTCTTGATTTTATATCTATCTGTATAGAAGAAGATAATCAATAGTGGATCCCAGGTTTTTATATAGCTTTTCAATCTGTTGAATAACTCCTAATATCTTCCAGCAGTCATGCCCAGTTAAAAGAATTTTATTGGTATTTATCTTAAATAAGATATTATTATGCAATGTCTGGGAAAATGTATTCTCAATTCTAAAGAAGAATAGTATTTTACATTCCTCTGTTTTTTGATCTTATAGCCTGACTGGAATAAGAAATTAACCTCCTTCACATATTTTGCCTAATCCAGATGATAAAAAGTTGAAGGCCTCATTTTGAACAAATAATCACCTTTTTATTATCTAGAAAATTTAGTATCTATCCTAATAACCTTATGATTTCTTTGCTTCAGTTAAACTTCATTTAAAGAAGTAGAGGAGTTTATATTCTTAATTTCTCTTTCAATTATTAATAATGTCATCAGAACATATAAAATAACTAATAGGAGCTTGTTTACATTTAGCTACTAACATATTTTGTGTTAACTAATCAAATGTCAGGTAATATTGTGCTATCAGAAATTTAGGGTCAAACTAAGATAGACAAAATCCTACAAGAAAACTATGAAAAACAGTAAGCACTTTAAGAGAGTATAAGATAGTATGTAAGAAGATAGAAAATAAGTCTTCCCTTGCTAATAGAACCTCTATTTCTTGTTGTTTCCAACTCTGTAAAGTAATATTCTATTCATCAGTTCTTTTATTTCTTAAAACCTTCTTGCTTTTAGTAGAGGAAGTGCGTACTTGAGTCTTTTCAAATCACTAGATGCTCAAGTTTGAATCAAAAGAGTTTATAAATAAGTAAGGCGGAATAGGAGAGATAAATGAAGATAAGCTTCAAGTTGTTTTAATGAAAGTATAAAAACTTTATTAACAAGGAAATATAAAACTTCTTATGAATATCTTTTTTATATGTGATCAGAGGATCAACGGAAAGAGTTTAAAAATTTTTTATATATTTTTTGAATATTTAATATTAATAATATTATATAATAATTATAGAAAAAAAGATATCTTTCATTTAAATTGATTTAAGTATAATTATTATTGAAATAATTATAGTTAAATAGAATTTATTTTTATTTTTTTAATTTCAATTAATTTAAATAATAGCAATATAAATACAATTCTATTATTAGGAAAAAATAATTTATATTAATTCAATTATATTTTAAAGATTAAATAATATAATAATGCAAATGTAAAATTATCATTATTATTTTTAACTAAATAATAATACAATTATGAAGTCATCATCTCTTAAATTAATGTTATGACAATTATATTATTTTTTTTTTGAATTATCAAATTAACTTTTTTTATAATATCATATTCAAATAAATAATTTAAATACAATCCTATTATTACTTGAACAATGAAACAAATATAAAGTTGTTATTATATGATCAAATAACAAAAACTTTTTTTAGCCATTATAGATATCTTTATAAGCCAATTGTAATATAAACTATTTTCAATAATAATACAAATACAAATTCATCATCACTTCATAATGGTTAACTTTTTCAGCTAACTTTCTCAATTGATTTTCTTGATAGTTATATACTGTAGATAAACAATAATACAACCAAGATCTTGTTATCACTTGAATGATAATGCAAATGCAAACTTGTCATCACTATAAGTGGGAATAATCTGAAGTCATGTGACAAAGTGAGCATAGCCGAATTGAGAGGTCATAATTTAAACCAAGTGATCATAATATAATTATATTATGACCATTGATAAGTTCGTAATTCAAATACTCGTTATTAGATAAATTCAAGATAATAAATTTGCAATTCAAATAATCATTATTGGATAAATCTATAATTTAAATGATAATTATTAGATAAATTTGTAATTTAAACAATTACATTATTTAATTATTATTAAATAAATATACCATCGAACGCTGCGCAAAGTATCCCGGGTGCAAACCAATCTAGGCGAAAAGTTAATTAGCAAAAAAAAAAAAACAAAAACCTGGGGACACTATTCAAGGGGAATCCTTTTTGCAGCACTCTACCGGCATGGCTCAAATGATTACAATAGATCCTTAAATGCACGCACTATCCATGTTTTCTCTTTTTTAAATACACGGCCAAGCTTGATTCCAGTTATAAAGAAACTCCTAATAAACACCATCCCTCTGAATGCATGCCCTTTCTAAATGCAATGCTTTGCCATGGTCCAAGGGAGGTGCATTTAAGGAGGGTTTATCGTATTTATTAAAATCCAATTTTGTTCTAACTGTAGAAAATATTTGATAATGATGATCTAACCAATCGGCCGGCGATTTCAGTTTGGTCTGGCCTCATTGTCTTGTAATCCTGGCAAGTTTCAGATAGGCATCATTTTAGATTTTCCAAAAATAGTTGACAATTCCCGAGATTTGTAGTCGCACACGCAGTTCATTCATGACAAACAAACAATTTCGAAGTTCTGAATATCACGATAACGATACGTAGTTCGCACGGTTACCACTCCTTTTCGATCTTGGACATCGGCTTGTCGAAAAAAAAAAAAATCGAGATTGATCATGCTTATTTATGATGAAAATTTAATTTTTTTCTGCATTTTTTGCAAGACTTTATAGCTTAATTTTTTTGTGTTTGTGATAAAAAGTAGCCGAGGTAAAAACCACAACCTATCACTAACTAGTCATACCTTACAGATAGTTTTTTTTTTTTTTTTTTTTCTAAAAAAAAAAAAAAAAATAAAATAAATAAATAATAATTATTAAATTTTTTGATTTTAAAAGGATGATTTCATAGTTTACGTTGTCATGACCAGTAAAAGGAGAATTTCAAGAATAAAGAAATTCCAGAATAAAATTATTAGTACTAATAAAGAGGGAAAAAAATAAACTAGAATTAAGAATAGATTATAAAAAAAAATTATCTAAACGAACAGTATACTGTAATAGGAATGTATGAGAATGTCGAAGGACAAGAAACAAAAAAAAAAAAAACGATTTTGCCAAAAATCTGATGCCTCTCGGAGGTGCCAATTGTATGTGTATGAATAATGAATTCGAAAAGCGATTTGTGATTTTGCCAACGAAAAGTTCATGATAAAGAGTAAAGAGAAATAAATGAATAAATAAATAAATAGATAGATAGTCTAAGAGAAGATTTTATCCCAGAATAAATGGGAGTGTAAGTTGTCGGAGATATGAACTTGCATTATTTTGTGATAAGTGTATTAACACCATACTTCCAGAATTCTACCAGAGAACCAATTGTTAATAGAGAGTGTAGAATGCCGGAAGTGGAATGCATCATCAAGAAAATCTCCAAAAGAATCCATTCCGTTCTAATCAAATAAGAAATCATTGCCATGTTCCCAATAGAAATAGATAATCTCCATCATTTCTGTAACATGATTTTTTTTTTTTTTTTTTTTGTGTGTGTGTATTTGGTACATTACGTTTGTGGTATCTAATATTTACAAATCGAAAAGATACATTGTTCTTATTGTGAAGCCCAAGATTCACACAAATTTTTTCCGTTTACATGAAAATGATATCGTTTATATCCGAGTCCCCCCTCTCGGCAACAATCCTTAGACATTTCACGATCCCATCACCCAATCGATCCACTTTATCTTCATCCACCGATCCCTCTTGATAGGTGATGGTGAAGTTAAATCTATTCTCGTAGGTCACCGCGTTCAAGCAAATTGCCGGTCCGTCGGACCATACCGATTGTGAAAATATCATATCTACCACTTCCCAGTTACTGGCGCTACCAAAATCACCGGCATCACTACTGCTACAATCACTAAAGGAAGAATCGCTATTGTAGTTACTCTGATTGTTGCCAAATCCATAGTACTCATCTCGGATGATTGAACTACGGGGATAATAATGGAGGTACTCGTCTTTCCCGCTCATTATGCTATGCCGCCTACTTCCGCTCAAACTGGAAAACGCCGAGTTCTTGTTGTCCTCCTCGATCAGGTCCAGCAGACTGCTCTGTCGTTCACTCTTCAGCGTCACCGGCAACATGACCTCAGGCGCGGGCTCCTCCGGTAACTCGAATTCCAAATTCGGAAACTTGCCTAGATTCGATGGCATTATCGAAAAACCTCGGCCGTTAGGGTACGGTTTCGATTTGTTTCTGAAGAAGGTCTCCAGATCTTTGTATTCCTTAGGCAGATAGCAGAGCATGCCTATGTTTCCCATGACGGTCGGAACGGAATTCTCCAGCTGGAATTTGTACATGTGACACAACTCCCAGAAATTGATATTGTTGACCTGATTGTTCTTTCGGAACTTGGGTTTTCGCGTTTTGCGAGAAGAGGAACCTTTCGACGAGGTTGAGATGATCGAACGACGGGAGAAGGAGTAGATGGACTGACGACTGGAGGTGGAAAGTTTGGAGTTGGTGGTGGAGATGGAATTTCGCGATGAGGTGGTGAAGCTCATCGTGGGTAAGGTCGGTTTCGGAAAAGAGTAGTTGAACACGGACTCGGCGGTGAAATTTCCCATTGTCGACCACGGAAGTTCGGGAGTGATGTGATTTCTCAGTGACACCGGGGTCATTATCTTCAAGGTGTTGTTTGAGGTGGCGGTGATAGCTCGTTTTCGGTTCCTGAATTTTCTACTCTTGATCTCACCGAATGTCAGCAGGTGATGATAGGAGGAGAAGAGAACGGCGGTGTTCAATACCGATTGGAAGGTGGAATTGTTGGATTCGATGACAGCCACCAATTTCTCATAAGATCGCTGCGGCAACGAAAACATCTTGACCCTGTTCTGATAATAGGGGGTATCATTGATATGCTTGTCGCCCGCCCAATATTGACCGGTCAACTGTTTCTGCAGGAACGACGGCAACAGGAATTCAGTGCATCCTTCCTTGATGATGGTGAGAAGCGAAGGCTGGAGGTCACGCAAATCCTCAATTGGGTCGCACATCTTGGTGAACATATTCTTGGTGAGAATTTTTGACGATGGCAGATAGGGTTGAGTCGTTCTTTTTGGTGTAGCGTTATACTCTTGGAGCGCTTGCTTCAGGACTTTCAAGAACATTCCTTGAATAGCGAACGCACTCATCTCGTCGCCAATTACATGGTTCCAACAGAAGACAATGCAAAAATCGTAGTCCGGCCTTCTAGTTTTCTCGGAAACATCGACCCCACTATCCTCACCGTTCCCAGAGGAATCACGAGAAATCTCGTATTTATTGATGCCCACGATGACCCTCCACAACGGTCTCGTCTCATCCTCTAAATTGAATTTCGAGTCGTGCTCTTGTTCCAACAGTTTCTCCAAGTCTTGACTGGAGGAAACCGAGACGAACTTTACCACGCTGGACAAGTCAATCTCATCGAGCCCTATGAACAGGGGTTTCGCAGAGTTAACATTGCGAATGGATACGGAGAGGTTTGGAAGGTCTTGGAGAAGGTTGGTCAGTGTGGGATAGAGCACCTGCAAAATTAGCTTCTTCGAGAGCTCAGTGTTCACGGAGTTGGTGTTGGAGTTTAGAGTGTACAGTTCGTCCCATTTGTAACGAACGGTGAAGCCCAAGTTAGAATAATTGCTGACACTCTGGAGGATGATGTAAGAACGTTCAAGATTGCTAACCGGTCGTATCACTGTTGGCATTTTCTATGGTGAGAATTCTTTTTTTAATTATTTATTTTATTTATTTATTTTTTTTTTTTTTTAGTCCGTGAAAGAAACAAGATTCCACAGGTATTTGGAAATTAGGAATCTCGATGCTTTTAAGTTCAAGGAGTTAGTGAGTCCGATGGATGCGATTTTGGTGGCGGTATTTCTCAACAGGAAAAAAAAAAAAAAAGCTATATATAATAATAGCAATAAAATAAAATAAAAAACAAAACAAAACAAAACAACAACAAAAGGTGAAACTTAATTTAGAAACTCGATTGAGGCTACGCAACGAAAAATGGGAAACCTTTGACCCAAGAGAAAAATTTGGGGAATAGTTGAATGTTATTATGATGAAATGTGAGAGGTGGATGGGGTGAAGTGAAAAGAAAAAAATAAATAGGCAATATTGTAAAATGCTAGGGCAGTGATGTTTAGTTTAAAAGGTGTGGTCATAAGATAAATGCGAAGCAGATACCGATGAACTGCCAGGAGCGAAGAGAAAAGAGAAATTTACTAACGACTGATCAAATTGTAGGAAAAAAAAATTTTTTTTTTTATTGCACCAAATTAGTCAACATATTAGGTGCGTATAATTGAATGGTACAGGATTGCAGGTTGGAAACGAACATTCCCACCGTACCACCGCTGTCAGTCCATGTGCAAACCGGTACTGTATTAGTTCAAAGTAATACTGTAACGACAAATTATGATTAATTACTAAAAAAATGAATTAATGGAATGTCATAAATATTAACTGCACGCATGTGTACCCTACAAAGAGTGTGCGCCATATTAATCGTTGTCTGTACTCTCATCAACCTAACATAACGAAAATATTATTTGTTCCATTAATCAAACAATCGCTCTGACTATTGCTCGAATTTTCCAACATTCTCACAGGCGACGTAAAGAAAAAATTTCGCACAAAGGGACAGAGCTTTTCCTTATTCGTGCATCATCACGAAAAGAGATTATTCATTACACAAATTCCCTATAATTCTCCGCACATCATTTGGGGGTCCGTTCACAAGGATCCCTAAATTGGAAGTTTTGAAGGTCCGATCCGGTCCCAGGGCTTAGAGGAATTAGATCGGACAACAACTTGGGTGAGACCGAGTTCGTACGTACGAGCGCACGTAGTAAACACAATTACATAAACTTTGCGCCATTCCTGCACTCCAACGTACTACTTCTTTTGAATTCGCGAAAATAGCATTCCTTATCATCAGTATTTTTAAACGCGCGTTTATTTTTAGTTTTCTTCATTAGGTTAATCAATTTATATTGGTCTCTCTTTCGGTTTGACACCATTTCTTCAAACGTTACGTTACAAACAGATGCTGACCCCCGTTGCAAGAAGTTGGATCGCCTTTACAATAATAATAAGAACAATGAGATTAACCGTTATGGCGAATTGGGTCACGAAATCGCGTACCATCCACCCACTCTCCCCCCCATGAGGAAAACATCTACTGAGGAATTGGCGATGTAATGATGGTTTCTCCGCGCTGATGATGATTATTCTCATTTTTTCAATAAAAATAGTAAAATATTTTTATAGTTGCCATAGATGTCATGCATCGATCAAGCGGGTCTGATCACCTGACTTCACAGTCAAAGGTGAATAACTTGCTTGTATCACAGTGACCCTATTAGCGTGTCCCAATTAATAATTGTTTTATTAAGATAAGTCGTTTAGTAATGACATATTTAGCGCGAATAATTTGGTCGCACACATCTTAAAAATAATTGTTTGCACACGTATGTACGATCATGCGCCGAGTCTTCTGTTTAATATGTTTGGTGTATCGTGCAGACACCCTTTGATTCGTGTGTGCGCTTACCGCATGACATACGATACTCTGCGCAGGCATTAATTTCAGTTGAAATTCGTTACGCCTAATAAATTTCGACGATTGTGGATCATCAAGCGAAGAGTGTGAATGCGTAGTTATGGAGACCAATTTTTGCGTTTTCCCTTTCTTGGATTACGCAATCCCAAATGAATGAACTGCTGTGAAACGATGTAAAGTATAACGCACAGGATAATCTAAAAATATTTTAGGAACTTGGAGTTCAAGTTATTTTTAGCAACGAATCATACCACTTTAGACTATTTATTATGTTGATATGGTGATACCAAAAATCGTGAAAAATTTGGTGCATATAATAAAGTCGAGGTGCATTCGAGTTTTTGTGCACAATTGTCATGTATAACATCGACGATAAGATGTAAAGTTCTGAATCTTTAATCCGTTGTGAAAAAGAACATCCACATTATTCATAATATAAGGTTACTTTCTTTTCTTGTATCGCGGGCGCATGACACACATACCATTATTAATTAATATGGCGAAACGTTATTGATGACGAACAGTTACTGTTCCTATTATTAGATCGGAATGTGTTTAAAAAATGAAAAAAAAAAAAATCCATGTTGGGCTTATCATTATCATCATCATTATTAGAAACCTCTTCTCACGAACACCCAATTCGGACAACAGTTTTTTTATTTTTGCTGAGGTGATCCCGACATTTCCGCAAATGTTCACGTCTAATGGCAATTTCGCATCATTATTACTTCATGATGTATATGGGCTCATTGGTCTTTTCTTGCGCGTGAACAACCGTGAGGATGCATTATCAATGCCTCCAATGTGAACGGATGAAATACGTACGACGATACACGCGCGGAACTGGGATTTTTTTGACCGAAAGACGTGAGTGTGACCAAGAATATTGATTTTTTTTTTTTTTTTTTTCGTGGACTAATAGTAAAGGACTTCATGCATTTTGTTATAGCGTTCCTCGGAAAACAACCCCCCCGTAAGAATGCATGCATCACGGCGATTTTTCTGGTGCAATTGTTGCAACCCAGATTGGATTAATTACTGTATGATATGCCCACTGCTCGTTCTCATTGGAATGGTTATGATCGTTACTATCTGAAAGAAATTTTCGAGGTGAGGATACGAATGTAGACCGTGCAACATGTTTCACGTCCCTGTATTTGCCGACTCCAATCTTTTGTCCAAGGGGTGAACGCCTGTTAAAGTTAGAATGCAATCTTTTTCAGACAACTCGTCGTCGCGAACGATACGGCTAACTCAAATTGTCTAGTCGTGGGCGTTTTACTATTCTAGAATCACATGACCCATACTGCCAAGTTTCTACAAAAAATTTTTTTTGGTCCAATTAGTGCCATCAGATAATTTCGCCTGCGAGTTTATTGCTTATTAACCGATACAATTAATTTAAGTTTATAGAAAATATTCGAAATTAATTATTTATAGAAATACTGCATTTTAAATTATATTGCTAATCACTCAAAATATTATTAAAGTTTCATCTGTGTCATACACTATATGTTTAGGCAACATACTGTACATACAGTATATACAGTATATCTATTTTTATTTACAACTCGATTTATGGTTTATTTCTTTCTCAATTAAAAAAAAAAAAAAAAAAATAGAAAATAGAAAATAATTTATTAAAAAATTTATGTTTTAGGATTTTTCAATAAAGAAAAATCTTTTATTATCAACTAATTATCATATAAACGGCAATGATTCTAAATAATTAATTATTCAATTATTTATATTTATATATTATATAGGATATTAAATCTATTAAAATATTTTAAATGTAATTTAAAAAACTATATTAAATATTTATATATTATATATAATTTGGAACAAAACTTTTTATTCTCATTTTTTTTTTTTTTTTAAGGATTAACAGAAACCCAGTTTATTGAAGTTATTAGTAATAAATTTGTGATATATGTATATTTAAAGATTATAAAATTACAAAGATTATATTAATACTCACATAACTTTCAATTTACCTATCACTATATGCTATCTAAATTTTATGATAAATCAATTTTTAAACATAATTTCAACTATTATTCATATGACATATTGCTGAAAGAAACTCTTTTATCCCTTCACCTATATTCAAACCTTTAGTATTTGACTTTTCCATAGTTAACTTAAACTTGAAATTACTTTTATATCTTATTTCACTAAAAATTCTTTTTATACTACTTATTACAGCATACCTACAAAATATTTCTATAGAGTCTTAAATATCATTTCATTCTACTAAAACATCATTTTTATATGATTTATTATAGTCTACCTATAAAATAACTATATGAAATCTTGAATAAATATTATTTTAATAAAAATTCTTTTCTAATTAACATATTTAAATACTATTAGTACCTTGGTTTTTTATAATATATAGATCTTCAACCTATTTGTTAAAACTTATAGAACCTATTGTTTGACAAGATGACTTTATCACTGAAACTGACTAAGGTATTTTATAATCTTTAAATTCTTTGTAATCTAATAGGATCATGGCTAAAAATGATTAAATCATTATTATAAGATAGATGAAATATTCTTATATTATTTAGAACTTTTGAATAATACTATCTCGCAATAATATTGAACTCAAAATAATACTTAATAACCTGGAAACATTACTATTGTACTATTAATCCACAAGTTTTTATTTTTTCATTTTTACATATAATTTAATAACTATTTAATAAAATTTTATATTTTATATATATTTAGAAATATAAAAAATAAAATTTATTTAAAATTAATTGTTAAAATTTTATTAGATTATAATTTTTAAAAAAATTTTTTTAAAAATATATTGATTTTAAATATATTAAAAAATTTTTTTTATAATAAAATATTATTATAATTATTTTAATTAACAAATTTATAAAATAAAAATAAATATATATATATATATATTTTTTTTTAACCTGCAGTCAGGTTAGCATAGCGTGTCTTTATTGTATATATACAAAGATATTTACAGGATATTTTGACTTTCACATACTAACTCACCCATCGTCAAAAAAACTATTTCTCTAGATGCAACTTAGGGAATGATATTTCGCTCCTTAACTGACTTGAATAAATCCTCTAGTCAATTAAATCATTGCCTACAG